TGCGCCCCTCATGGTCTTTTTTCCATGCAGTGTGTAATTGTACGATATGCGGCTCCCATTCGTCGTTTATATTTTTAAAATGTTCATCACCAAGGAATTTATTTCCAGAAAAAGTCGATACATTCAGTATGATAAATGTGAAAATCACACAATGTGAAATAAGGTAGCTATACACTACACATAACGTGCGATCTTCTTCCAGTCTGACATCGGTTCCACCCATTTAATGTTTTAATGTTACTGAAGCAGGTGAACCTGATGTAGCCATAGTAACGGTGTTTCTTTTGTATGACTCTGACGTTCCTGTCAATAGAATCATTGAATTCCCAGTGCAAACACTGGCGAGGGCCTTGATAAAGCTTGCCCATGATCCCCTGTGCGTTATATCGTATTACAACCGTGTAAACACCCTTCTTATATTTGCAAAACCCGGTTCTGACTGCGAGAAGACAACCATGAAGTTAACATGACTATAATGGAGTTTAACATTATCCATGACAACAGCAGGGCATGTTTCCACTGTATGGGAATTATAAACTGCCAAATGCGGCAGATTTATTGAATATTTCTTTACTTATTATCCTGTAAGCATCTGCAGTGGTGTCGGTATATCATATTGCAAAGGCTGGGTTATATCCTTCTGTTTTCATATTATATACTGAACACCAAAAGTTATGGATCTAAGAATATCATGGGATATAGTTCCGTTACTAACACGTACTTCGGGATGGCAACATCTGCCCAATTCGATAAACATGAAAAAAAGACTCGATACCGAAATGGACATTTCACCCCTTTACGAATATGCATATTTCATAATCAATATGACTTGCAAGCTTATACAAACATGTCATTAATGCACACATGAGAAGGCAGGCTGATTCACATCTCACAACGCCAACTCTCAGACAAGTGGCCCACGGAGGACGAACAAATCCAACATCAGTACAAAAGGACATTTACCTGGTAAGATCTATTAATATTATATATCTGTAATGGACATATTCAATTCGTTTTTAAGATATCCAAATATGTCTTTATTATAACGATTACTAGCGGGGAAAATCATTAATTACTAATCACATCCCAAACAACAAGTGTTCAGGATTACATATATTGCCATGCCGTTTCATGATCTTTGCCGTTAAGTTCAATCATGTGTGCTGGGGGTAGATCAATCTTTCCGAATGAATGACATTATTATTTATTCCAAACGTTAGAAATGTACATTTTAAATTCATTTCCACAGACAGAATTCAAGGTTCCCAATGTTAAATACGTATACACTGGTGTACAAAAGGGATAATGAGTTATTCAATGCAAAGTGTTCATGACACGAAGTAAATAGTAAAAGGTAATTAATTGTATCTAAGGACTGATCTATTTTTCTTTTTATTTATGATTATTTATTTCGAATTTGATAAATTACAGCCATCGGTGGTCCAGGATACGATCAACTTGTCGAGACCACCTGGTATCATCAGTACTATTTAACAGTGAGTCATGAACACTCTCATGATGTATTCGAATTGTACAATTGACTCTGGGTGTTGCAGACTTTGTTTAACATGTATTTTAAGTATTACAAATGAATACTATGTGTTATGAATATTATTTAAAAAATACCTACATGGCATTGACCATAATAAGGCATTGATTTTGAACGATCTGCATCACAAGGAAAATTTAAAAAGTAAGGTTATCATTTCTACAAATACATGCATGTACAATTAAATATTTTAACGCGGAATGATTATTGTCAAGGCAATTGCACGGGTGTCATAGTATCTCGTAACACACCCTGTTCCATTAGGGCTCAGAATCATCTTCCACAATAACACTATGCGATGAAGCAATGTACTTTGGACTTACGGTGTAAATATGTAACCCACCCTGTGTAATCTGTCGGTTGATTGCCTACACATTTGTCAGGTACATTTTGAAAATAAAACTCCGACGCTTATTAAAACAACCATTATTATATAAATTATACTGTTCACACTGAGATAGACGAAATGAAATTAGAATACATAGTAAAACATGTGGAGCGAAAGAAAGTACATCATATTTGTTTTTTTTATGTTATCGAAAAATGAAAGAACTCTCTATTTAACCATCACCCATTTCTCCAACAGTTTGAAAAAAGTAATCTGTGGCTGGATAATGTTGTGTAAAAATAAATTGGTTCATTGAAGTCTGGCGTGAGAAATGAATTTACAACCGAATGACCCACACCATGTTGGAAATGTAAATTTGTGGCGAAAACAACAACTTTATTGACTTTCAAAGGTACGATAAGAAACCAATCAACAGCTGTGTATTAGCACAATTCATATGTTTAAGTTTTAAAATATTGATATCCATTTATGTATCTGAAAAATCAAACCATGTAGAAGTATTCGTTGAGTGTACAGTACAGTTAACGTTTTGGATATAATACCGCTAACTTAAGATATTTTCAACTGAAAATCAAACATATCATCATTTCAACTGAGATTTATCGTTTCCTTTGCTCCTAAGTTTAGTAAAATAATTCATTTATTCTTAATGAAATTATATTTAGCAAACAAATATGTCTGATTTGTAGGGCTGAGAAGTGTTCAGATTCGCATTTGTAAATTAATTGGAATGTTCAACAATGTCTCTATATTGTGTTACGCAAAGTTTGCACAAAAGATATTCGTTTAGAAACTGAACATGTACAGTCTACGCTTTTATGCCGTTATGTCCACTTAGTACCCTTCAAGATATGTGTACCAGCTTAGGAGAACTGATTTGCGATTGTGTCTACAGTGCAATAATGTACATAATGTAAATATTATCTGAATCATGTTTGCAGAAATAATCTTCGTTTCCGTGTTAGGTAGGTATGATGTTGGTTACTGGTAGTCACAACCAGTTCAACAATTCCACACAGCCAATAACTGTTCTCCAGTTCCCCAAATACACGTAAATACCGTTATAAATGCATCTTCTTACTGGTTCTGTGTGTTTATTTGAGTTAAGTATGTGTAAACTTTAAAAGAAAATTGGAGAATATGTCTCGCGTACATCGACATCAGTAGGCAACACAACACGATGTAAACATGGAGATGAAGTGACATAAAAAGATATATTATTTGCCCATGTTTCAGCAATCACATTCAAACATAAAACGCTTTCAGGTTGACTTTAATATAATTCCATATATCTACATTTTACACACCGTATTAACACTTTCTTGTAACGTGTCACTGTTGGATCCAATAATAAGCCCTTGTATCCTTTATATGCTATTCAAACCGACTGGACATAAATGTTAACTACGTTTGGCACAAGAAGGTGTATGTTTATATCACTGAATATTGCCATTGCCACACACCAAAGATTCGTTAATCCAGAAACTGGTCGATGCGGTCGATTTCTGTGGTAACGGCACCGTCAGAGTTAACACCTTACGTGAGCCAAAGGGTAGGGGTAACTTAGCTTATCGTTAAGGTTATTATCAGACCGAAATTATCCGTATCTCGTAAACAGCTGAAGTGATATGTTTTAATTAGACTGAGAAGGAACATTCGCTCGAGACATGTAATCGCAATGTCCTTGTTGCTCGGGTATTTTCGTTGGCATGTTCGCAGTTAGTATGGGCTTATGTGATTTGCTTTGTGATATAGATAAAACCTGTGTGTGAATGTGGGTGTACTACGTACTACTTTGGTACTCTACTTTCACACATTTCTCATCGTCTATATAGAGAACGATGTAACACGGTAATCGAACTGTTTGATAGGCATTTTTTAAATGCTGACGGATGAAAAAGTAGACAGAATGTATGGATACCAACGTATTTAATACACTGTGATATTATTCAGTCTTGCTTGACAACGGTATAAGGATCTATACCGAAACGTCGCTATTTACAGTTTAATAAATAAGTTGTTATCAAAAACATTTGCCTACTTTGCCATACAAGAAATGCAAATACATAGTAGCGACTAATGTCTTTCCACATTCATAATAATTAAATAAAGCGACAAAACCCTTTCCGTATCCATTAAAAATCTCTGTGTAAAGCAGACCCGATTGTACGATTCCGACTATATCATGAACATGTGTTTATGAATTACTATCAAATAGGGATGATACCAGGTGTCCGCATAAATGTGAACGTATCCTGCCCCACCGGTGGCACCCGTCACAAACACATGCAAATACAATTGTTCATCTAAAAACAAGGGAACACAGTGTACAGGGCAACATAGAGAATTGCATCAGACATCATTCATTACACTGATGCGTCAAATTTGGAAATGTCCTCCACATGTCCGCACCTCGACACATTGGAATCTCATTCAATATATCACAGGGTATATGCAAAAATCGTGGCCAACTGTTGTTCAGTCTCTAAATAATGACTGTTGGATCAGGCATGTACATGTATTCCAGCGAATAATTATTACCCACCCTTATATCCATTTGACAATACCATGAATGAACTGTGTGTTATTCTTAAAATGCATACCCTATAGGCCTTGCGAGGATGTTGTCTGCTTCTTCGCCACACCCGGAGTCATTCAGCACATTTCTACTATACACCACTTTTTGTTCAACCTAGTGAAGTTGTTTAGTGTTTACGACGTATCAATTCTATTGGATGCTCCGGGACAATTTCACAGAATTCACTGACCGTGCAAGCTCTACGCGTTTTCTCCAGATAAGACATAACCGCTTAAACTGCTGAGCTATATTGACATGCGGTATTCTGTTACACGAAGAGGCACGCCCAGCAACCCTACACATGTCTTTCCTAATACCAGTTGTGTGGGTAGCTGTGAAAAGGTGGACTAAACGCATGGGCATTATTTTGAAGGTGATTCCAAGTCAATACAGCGTTACATGTTATATGGTTGGTACATGTACTATACAATATTCAGTAAGCTATGATCGGGCATCTATGGATTACTGGTTAAATGGATCTATTCATAGCAGGTATGAATTCATAGTATCTCTTCTTACTTTCTGTCTGTTATGCATAGCCTGAAGACAACTGCGTTTGGAAAGATATATAGATATTAATGTTTTAGAGTGGTATTTTGTTGAAACATTGTCATTGTAGATAGATCCTTTAAGCTGGCTCAGGTTTTTTGGGTCCAATTCTAACCTGGCATCCCACGAGGACAAGATGTACTCATGACAAAATCAAATTCTATATACTCGATTATATATATAATTTCACATATATGATAATGAATTAATGCACGAATGAATAACACTATTATGTTGTGTTTGAACGTCTGTATCTAACACGGACACGCCAACTCTGAACATATCCTCAATCTGAAAATTAGAACATCACTAGGCAACGCACTTCATCGAGCCTAGCTAAATATTGACTAGACTACCCAGCGTGCTGTATTTGCGCTCCTTGGGATTATGCAGCATTTTGACCCAGAAACGTGCCAAGAGGTCCAGCAACTCGCTTACAAACTGTAGCATACGTTCATCCCAAAAGCATACGAACGAAATAATGTCACTTTAATCGACACCAAACGGTTTATGCCTTGTTACATGAGAACCATCCACCCTATATTGTTAAATGAAGTTACTGCTTGTACATTTGTCAACTATATTTCTAATTGTAAAATGTAATGTACGCGTAGTTTGATTATTGTTATTATCTTGTAAATATCCTGTTTCTTTTCAAATAGTAAATTCTGTTTCAATAATGCTTTCTCTTAACAATCATACTCTCTTGCGTTGCCTTCAGAGAGTTCTGTTGTGTTGACTACAGTGCTTTCTCCAGACCTGTGCAATTACTTTCACTACAACTACATAGTGTTTCCTCAAATGCTTCCTCTGTCCAATCACATTCTGTTGTGTTGACTACAGTGCTTTCTGCAGATCTAAACAATTACTTTCACTACAACTACATAGTGTTTCCTCAAGTGCTTCCTCTGTCCAATCACATTCTGTTCTGTTGACTACAGTGCTTTCTGCAGATCTAAACAATTACTTTCACTACAACTACATAGTGTTTCCTCAAATGCTTCCTCTGTCCAATCACATTCTGTTCTGTTGACTACAGTGCTTTCTGCAGATCTAAACAATTACTTTCACTACAACTACATAGTGTTTCCTCAAGTGCTTCCTCTGTCCAATCACATTCTGTTGTGTTGACTACAGTGCTTTCTGCAGATCTAAACAATTACTTTCACTACAACTACATAGTGTTTCCTCAAGTGCTTCCTCTGTCCAATCACATTCTGTTGTGTTGACTACAGTGCTTTCTGCAGATCTAAACAATTACTTTCACTACAACTACATAGTGTTTCCTCAAATGCTTCCTCTGTCCAATCACATTCTGTTGTGTTGACTACAGTGCTTTCTGCAGATCTAAACAATTACTTTCACTACAACTACATAGTGTTTCCTCAAATGCTTCCCCTGTCCAATCACATTCTGTTGTGTTGACTACAGTGCTTTCTGCAGATCTGAACAATTACTTTCACTACAACTACATAGTGTTTCCTCAAATGCTTCCTCTGTCCAATCACATTCTGTTGTGTTGACTACAGTGCTTTCTGCAGATCTGAACAATTACTTTCACTACAACTACATAGTGTTTCCTCAAATGCTTCCTCTGTACAATCACATTCTTTTGTGTTGTCTACAGTGCTTTCTCCAGACCTGTGCAATTACTTTCGCCTGAGACATATCGTGTTTCCTAAAATGATTCCTCACTACAATCACATTCTATTGTGGTGCCTACAGTGCTTTCTCCAGATTTGTACATTGTCAATTACTTTCGTTTCAGCTTTATAACATTTCCTAAATGCGTCCTCTGTACAATAATACTGGTGGGTTTTTAAAAAAAATAATCTTCTGTACACTTTTATTAATGTATTTATTATGTTACAACCACAGCAATTCCTTACAGCAATTTATACGAGCTGCAATCATAGCGTTGAATCTAGTTGCCATAATAACTTTGAAAGTAATGTAGTGTGGAGTTACTAAGTATCTCAACTGTGGTGAATAAATCCAATGAGAACAATGTTTCAAATGTCCATTTTTAATTCCATTACAGGATTCTTTATTGATGACCAGTTAATTGTCCCCTGTAGAAACGTGGTGGGACCTGACGAAGCTGTGGAAGGAAGCCAGTTCAGAAGAAGGGGCTCATCCGATTTGGCCATGGTTTGCTTGAGGTGTGAATTCTGCCATATTTGCAATAAAAGGTAATTATATGTACATGTGTTTATTCATTTCGTTACAGAAAAACTTTAGATGCTCTGAGAAACTGGTTCTCATGTACCGTAATAGATTTATTCTGATGAAAAGGTGGTGGCGTATTAATGAATACATTTATTCAGGGTAGATGGTACGCAAGATGGTACGCAAGCAACCAAGTCACCAATCCTGACCAACCGATCCAATTTAGCCACAGCATACGACAAGGCTGGTTAACTAAAGACCTATTCTATCCTGGATACAAAGTTGTTCCTACCTTTAGAATATAGAACCACAAACTTTTCAAACACGTGACAATAACCTATGACGTAATTTGTGATATTTTGTTGCCAGTCACACCGGCGAAACAATGCCCTGTGACGTCAGGGGTCATCGAGTGTGCATAAGCTCCTCCCAGTGATCTATCATCTCTACACGCAGTGTTATTGAATACGACCAGCGGTGTTGAGAGTTTTGAATATTTATTTTCTAAATATAGCCTGCGGCGGCGCATATTATAGCAAGCGTTAGTTTAAGAAAGCACTTTTATTTTTTATTTATTTTTATTTCGTTTTCCTCGTAATTCAAGTGGCTAATATGGTTATAAATGGGAACTAATATACATATTTTATTTTTTCGGTTCGTTAATTTTCATTATTATGCACAAGAATGCAGTTTATTAGGGATATTATTTTGGCGCTGAAAACATTGAAATGTCGCCAGTGTCAGGGTAGGTTTCCCCGTACTCTATCCTTAGCCCTTGAATCCCCTTTACGATCAATCACCCCTTTACGATCACTTGGATTAGGTACCCGTTTAGTGGCTATTAGATTAACCGAACTCTATCCTTAGCCCTTGGATCCCCTTTACGATCATTAGGGTTAGGTACCCGTTTCGTGGCTATTGTAGATTCTATAGCAGCTCCTAGTATTCTTCACACAAAAAACGTCGAGTAAAAAGAATGAAATGGTTTTGTGTCGAATAATTTGGCTATTAGAATTTCTCCTGGAACATTCACACATGCTACATTTTTTCAGTATTGATTCCAAAGCGAACTCACCGTTGTGTCGTCACTAGTCATGCTCATGCCTCCCTCGTTCCTTACTATTATGTTTACAGTCTTCCCTACCACACTTATCTGTCACAACATCCACCCGACGAATTATTATATACCATGTCATTCATGCGTACTCGCGAGTTCGACGTCTGACGTCTGACGTCTGACGCCCGGAGCCGTTTTCAGTTCGCGTCAAATCGGCTCATTCCTCACCACTCGGTTTCTTGTAGATTACGGAATGGGACGGGTGTGCCAAATGGCATCGGGATCATTCGTAAGTGTCCGTAGACTAAAGTCACGAGACACCATGCCTACCCGCAACCTTCGTAAGTGTCCGTCACCTATTCGACCCTTTTCGTTCAGTTCCGTAACGTTGTAGGCATGACTAGGTAAATTTGCACTTAGCCTTATACTGTGGACGAAGCTCAGTCGGTTAGCTGTCGAGCTAACGATACCAAGGTCGCGAGTTCGCGTCTGACGGAAACTTTCAAAAACTGGTTGCTTGTCGACAAGTGATCTACGGCAGACATCGTCCTCACGAGAAGTTAAGATGCTCCTATTTTATTTCCTTAGATCAATAATCACTGTCATTCCAAAATAAAATATGAATGTGAAAATACTAATTTTCAGAGGTTGACCCAGTTAACCTCTCCTCTCTAATTTGTTTTTTATTTATTCATGGACATGCTTTCGGAGTAAAGTTTCAGAGGAAGTATTGAACACACATTTCTACAATAAAATACATATTGTCTGTTGCAATTCGAATTTAAACATCGCTTCCATTTTTTTCACCCGAGTTGCTTTTGACATTATCAAATTGGACATGTTTTGACCTATGGTTTTAGTGCATTCTCAATTGAAATTATTTGTCTAAACTGAAGGGCAACAGTTGAGTTTATCATTTGATTTTCGATTGAAAATATCTTAAGTCAGCGATATTATGTACAAATGAAATGTAGGGGCGCTTTGTCAGCACTCAAAGAATATTTCTACATGGTTGTATTGTTTAAAATATAATTTGATTTAAAACTTTTAAATATTTAAAAAAAAACATTTCACATAATACGCAATTGCTGATGGGTATTTTAGACATCGTAGCTTTGAAAATTGATAAATTTGCTTTTTTCGGAATGTATCAAACACAACATTTAAAACATTTTAGGGTCATGTGGTTGCTAATTCATTTCTTACCCCAGTCTTCATTAAACCAATGGATTTTTGCACAAAATTACCCATCCACAGAATACTTTTTACAAACTGATGGTGATGGTGAAATAGATTTAATCAAATTTAACAACAGTTCCTTAAATTTTCAATTACATAAAAACAAACTCGGTCTACTTTCTTTTGCCCCTTTATTTCGATCTGCTCTATTCTATCACTCTGGTATTAAAGAACGTGGTTTATTATTATTGACTTTCACACTATAGCACACTAATTATTAGCTATTATAACTATAGCTCGTAGATTTTGTGATACCTTTGCCTTTCATAACATAAAAACAAACTCGGTAACTTTCTTTTGCCCCTCTGTTCACATAGCCGGATATCCTTTATGTGTTTGAACCTCTCACTCCAAAACAAGAGTCGACTGAAGAAAATTGTAAGATTAGGAGAAAAGATTGCCAGACGTGAATGCGAGAACCTTGACTAACTTTGTTAATTTAGCCTTAAAATGTTTTAGACTGTTCATCTCAGGTAACATATGTTATATTTGGGATCACAAATTCAAGTACTTTTTTGGGGTTGAGTCCCGCGATTTAACCCCAGGTACTCAGATCGAGGCCCCTAATCGCCTATTTACATTTATCAGAGGAGAACACGAACTACGTGATATAGACTACCAGTCGTCGGACCATTTTGTGGAAACCTCGGTTGCTGAGTGGGTAGGATCTTCTAGACTTTGTGGACTGGCAATAAGGTGCCTCACTCTGAGAGAGTGGGTTCGAATGGGTCTTAACCAAAAAAAGTACTAGAATTTGTACTTCACTAAGAAAGTGTTGCCCAAAATATAACATATGTTACACCTGAAAACTTTCTAAAAGTATTCATATCCTTTTCAATTCTTGTTCTCTGTTTTATTATTTGGTACCATCTGGATGAAGGTATCTCATACCACAGTTACATCTGAACGATCCGATACCTCATTCATCCCAGTTAGCATATAACTCTTAAACACATGATCAATCGTCGTGTTTTACAGCTTTTTAACCCAATATCCACAGGAAACATTTTAATTTTGGTAATTGTATCTTTTCTTATTTTAACCAGATAATGAACCTCTTTGTTCAGAACTCGAGCTTTCATCCTTGAATGAATGAATGAATGAATGAATAAGATTGTTATTATAATTAATTATAACAATATAACAGTTTAACTGTGTGATGGTTATATATCAGTGCTTCTGAGAAAAGGCTCGGTGACTTGGTTGATTACGGGTCATCGTACTCCGATCAGTCACTGGATTGTCCGGTCCAGACTCGATTATTTACAGGCCTCAGTCATATAGCTAGAACGTTACTGTGTTAATCAATAAACAAACAACTATTGGATAAATGAGCACATTTTCACATTTCAGGTCATGGACGATGTTTGGAGTATTGGTACTGATCAGCCTGTTCTCAGCATTGGCGTTTATAAACAACGAGGACTCCCCAGATGGCATACCGATGCCCTTAGCTTCCAATACAAAAATCATGTATTCGCCCCCTGCAGGTACCAATAGAACCGGTGAATATTCCAGTTCTAAAGGTAGCAACATTATTAAACATTACTCAACACCTGCAAACCTTACTGCTAAGAAACACGAACTCATTCTGTGGTACTTCTCACCAAGATATCTACTGAATCCTTTGAAAGATGGAGGCCGTATCCAAGCCTGCCCAGAAGCAAAATGTTTGATGACAAGAGAGCGTTCTCTTTTAAATCAAAGTAAAGTTGTGATTTTTTCAGCTGAACAAATTAAGGGTCTTCCCCCTCAGAGACCTCCTGGGCAGGTGTGGATCTTCCATAATAATGAACCACCGTATCTGTTTTCCCACGGCAGACCCTTTATGAAACAACCTTGGTCATCGGTGTTCAACTGGACGATGGACTTCAGACACGATTCAGACATTTACAGGCCGTATGCTATTCTCAGAAAGAGAGAACACATAGCCAAGAGGAATTACACGTCAATTCTCCAGAAGAAGAATGGTCTTGTGGCATGGATGGTCAGCAACTGCTTGGACTGGAGCGGCAGGTTGGCGTATGCACGGGAATTGAAGAAATACATAGATGTAGATATATTTGGAGCGTGTGGTCAAAGATCTTTCCCGAGAACAAGTAATAATAAATGGATGCAACACCTTAATATTACATACAAGTTTTATCTGGGGTTTGAGAACTTGCACTGTCAAGATTACATCAGCGAGAAGTTCTTCAACAACTTCAACCTTGACCTTGTGACTGTTGTCCGAGGGGGAGGTAACTACAGTCGGGACGCCCCTAACGGCACCTACATCAACGCTGATGACTTCAAATCCCCCAAAGAGTTGGCAGACCATCTTCTGTACCTTAACAACAACACGGACAAATACATAGAAATACTCAGAAGGAAAGACAATTACTACTATGAGGCAGAGGAATATCGATATATCGATATCAATGGTGCTGTTTTTCTCGAACATTATCATGAATCAGAGGCACTGTGTAATCTGTGTGATCGATTACATCGGATACACCAGTTTAAGAAATCTATATCTGATATAGTCCCATGGTTCACTAAAGGCATTTGCAAGGAAGCAAGCGGTAAGCGGTGATATTTATCGTAAGGACAGAAATACATACAAATTATTATGCGACCAAATAAACAAAAACCAAATAGTCTGACCAAGTTTGAACTTTTTCCTTGTTGTTTGGGTTTGCATAACCCCAATACCGTACTTGTGTAGACACAGGGTGACAAAGCACGTGTGATCACACCGGTAGGTGTGCTTTATAATCTGATGATCAAATAAAACTGTGCAAGTGTTCGTTTTATTTGCACACACTTCCAAATTGCATTGAAATACTGTGGTGACAATACGTGCATGTATGATGAAAATAAAACACCTTAACAATATATTGGTCATACAAAACAGTGTTGGTGACACAAAACATCGAGGTTTGGTAATCCAGAAAAGTCCTGTTGTTGGTGATATAAAACATTTGGGTTTGATGATTCAAAACATCCTGTGGTTAGTAAACTAAATACAAAACATCATGTTGTTGGTGATACAAAATATCCCGTTGTTGTGATCTGAAATAATTGCGTATGACAAACTATGGGAATGTGGGTGACACAAAACATTATGGTACAAAACAGCCTGTTGGTGATACAACACATCGGAGTGTGGCGGCACAAAACATCGGAGTATGGTGAAACAAAACATAATGTTGTTGTTGATACAAAACATCGGGGTTTGATGACAGACAAAACCCAACGGGTTTGGTAATAAAAATAAGTCCTGTTATTGGTAATGCAAAAGATCAAATGTTGGTGATACAAAAACACGGTTGTTGTTGATACAAAACATCGGAGTCATAGAAAACATCGGGGTTGGGTCATTCAGAACATCGCAGTTTGGTTATACAAAACCTCCTGTCGGTGACACAAAACAATACAAGACAACACATGTGAGGGTTGTTGAGCAAACATCGGAGTGTTGGTTATACAAGACAACACATGTGAGGGTTGCTGATGCAAAACATCGGACGGAGTGTTGGTAAAACAAGACAACACATGTGAGGGTTGTTGAGCGAACATCGGAGTGTTGGTTATACAAGACAACATATGTGAGGCTTGCTGATGCAAAGCATCGGAGTGTTGGCAATACAAGACAACATATGTGAGGCTTGCTGATGCAAAACATCGGAGTGTTGGTAATACAAGACAACATATGTGAGGCTTGCTGATGCAAAACATCGGAATGTTGGTAATACAAGACAACACGCACGAGGAGTGCTGATGCAAAACATCGGAATGTTGGTAATACAAGACAACACATGTGAGGCTTGTTGAGCAAAACATCGGAATGTTCGTAATACAAGACAACACATGTGAGGGTTGCTGATGCAAAACATCGGAATGTTGGTAATACAAGACAACACATGTGAGGCTTGTTGAGCAAAACATCGGAGTGTTGGTTAAACAAGACAACACATGTGAGGGTTGCTGATGCAAAATATCGGAGTGTTGGTAATACAAGACAACACATGTGAGGCTTGCTGATGCAAAACATCGGAGTGTTGGTTATACAAGACAACACGTGTGAGGCCTGCTGATGCAAAACATCGAAGTGTTGGTAATCCAAACAACACATGTGAGGCTTGCTGATGCAAAACATCGGAGTGTTGGTTATACAATACAACACATGTGAGGCTTGCTGATGCAAAACATCGGAGTGTTGGTGATACAAGACAACACATGTGAGGGTTGCTGATGCAAAACATGGGGCGTTGGTAATGCAAGACAACACGCACGAGGAGTGCTGATGCAAAACATCGGAGTGTTGGTGATACAAGACAACACATGTGAGGGTTGCTGAGCAAAACATCGGAGTGTTGGTAATACAAGACAACATATGTGAGGCTTGTTGAGCAAAACATCGGAGTGTTGGTTATACAATACAACACATGTGAGGGTTGCTGATGCAAAACATCGGAGTGTTCGTAATACAAGACAACATATGTGAGGCTTGTTGAGCAAAACATCGGAGTGTTGGTAATACAAGACAACACATGTGAGGCTTGTTGAGCAAAACATCGGAGTGTTGGTTATACAATACAACACATGTGAGGGTTACTGATGCAAAACATCGGAGTGTTGGTAATACAAGACAACATATGTGAGGCTTGTTGAGCAAAACATCGGAGTGTTGGTAATACAAGACAACACATGTGAGGCTTGTTGAGCAAAACATCGGAGTGTTGGTTATACAATACAACACATGTGAGGGTTGCTGATGCAAAACATCGGAGTGTTGGTAATACAAGACAACACGTGTGAGGCCTGCTGATGCAAAACATCGGAGTGTTGGTAATACAAGACAAAACATGTGAGGGTTGCTGATGCAAAACATTGGAATGTTGGTAATACAAGACAACACATGTGAGGCTTGCTGATGCAAAACATCGGAGTGTTGGTTATACAAGACAACACATGTGAGGGTTGCTGATGCAAAACATTGGAGTGTTGGTAATACAAGACAACACGTGTGAGGCCTGCTGATGCTAAACATTGGTGACACAAAACACCCCCCTGTTGGTGGTGCAAAACATCGGAAAGGTATTGATACAAATAAAACCCTTTCCATAATCATAAAAAAATCTCTGCTTAAATAAGAGTCGATATTTGAAAGGATTTGAAAGGATTTTGAGGATCCAAAACAACAGATGAAAGGACATGTGTTCAGGTTGGAGAGTCAAGTCAAAAGTTAATAGAATATACATGGTTTTGGTAGATTCCCTCCTCCATTAACACACGTGCCTTGTATGTTCTTTGATCAAAACAGTTAATGTAGTGATGCTTACATATAATGGTTATGTTACTTATGTTTGAGGACTTGTCAACAGTGAGAACAACTACAAACGTTTCATGTATGGCAGCCAGACTTTAGACAACAGCTTTCTGGGACAAAATGTGTTCATTCCAATTACAAAAACACATCCTGTTATTGGTGATACAGAAAGGCCTTGCACATTAAAACAATACGTGTACCATAGTAAGTATTTACCGTGGACTGGGGTCGGTTGGTTGGTTGGTTTGTTGTTTAACGCCGCACTCAGCATTATTCCATCTATATGACGGCGGTCTGTAAATAATCGAGTCTGGACCAGACAATCCTGTGATTAATATCATGAGCATTTGGGATCGATGACATGCATCAACCAAGTCAGCGAGCCTGACCACCCGATCTCGTTAGTCGCCTTTTTCGACAAGCATAGTCACCTTTTACGGCAAGCATGGGTTGCTGAAGACCTACTCTACCCCGGAATCTTCACGGGTCGGACTGGGGTCGGTTCCAAATATTATGGATTTAGGTCGTGAAATTAAATATATTAATTACTCGGTTATATTATTGACAACATGCTTCGCACATAATGTATTATAAGTAGAAGTATTCTACTTTATTCAAGGTATACTGGCAATCGTCTTACAACATCACTTCGGGCTTCCCGACCACATCAGTCTGACACGCCATTATGTTAGTGATATACAGTTCAAATTGAAATATACCAAGCTCACTCACTCACTTCGAATCTGGGCCCCACACTGTCTGCCATTTCAACGTCCACACAACCATGTCGCATTTCATATGTTCCGTTTTCCTTTAAAAAGTCCTTGAAAAGTCCCGACGGAGATAAGAGATGAAATGATTGTTAGCACTGACCTTCGTATGAAATACCCGCAGTGACGACCAACCTATATCTAAATAACCACTTTATTACTATCTGGACCTCCGGTGTGGACCATCCAAAGATCCCGTTAGTCGCCTCTTACGACAGGTATGGGTCGCTGAAGGCGAATTATAACCCTGATCATCACGGGATGAAAATGGGAAAAACTAAGAAACAACTATAGCTTTACCCATCGCCAGGTACTCTTTTGCTTGACCCATCGCCAGTTACTCTTCAGCTCGACCCATCGCCTGGTACTCTTTAGCTTGACCCATCGCCTGGTACTCTTCAGCTTGACCCATCGCCAGGTACTCTTTAGCTTGACCCATCGCCTGGTACTCTTTAGCTTGACATATAGCCAGGTACTCTTTAGCTTGACCCATCGCCAGGTACTCTTCAGCTTGACCCATCGCCAGGTACTCTTGAGCTTGACCCATCGCCAGGTACTCTTTAGCTTGACCCATCGCCAGTTACTCTTGAGCTTGACCCATCGCCTGGTACTCTTGAGCTTGACCCATCGCCTGGTACTCTTGAGCTTGACCCATCGCCAGGTACTCTTTAGCTTGACCCATCGCCAGGTACTCTTTAGCTTGACCCATCGCCAGGTATTCTTTAGCTTGACCCATCGCCAGGTACTCTTGAGCTTGACCCATCGCCGGGTACTCTTGAGCTTGACCCATCGCCAGGTACTCTTTAGCTTGACCCATCGCCAGGTACTCTTGAGCTTGACCCATCGCCAGGTACTCCTGAGCTTGACCCATCGCCAGGTACTCTTGAGCTTGACCCATCGCCAGGTACTCTTTAGCTTGACCCATCGCCAGGTATTCTTTAGCTTGACCCATCGCCAGGTACTCTTGAGCTTGACCCATCGCCAGGTACTCATGAGCTTGACCCATCGCCAGGTACTCTTTAGCTTGACCCATCGCCAGGTTCTCTTTAGCTTGACCCATCGCCAGTTACTCTTTAGCTTGACCAATCGCCAGGTACTCTTCAGCTTGACCCATCGCCTGGTACTCTTGAGCTTGACCCATCGCCTGGTACTCTTGAGCTTGACCCATCGCCTGGTACTCTTGAGCTTGACCCATCGCCAGGTACTCTTTAGCTTGACTCATCGCCAGGTACTCTTCAGCTTGACCCATCGCCAGGTACTCTTTAGCTTGACCAATCGCCTGGTACTCTTTAGCGTGACCCATCGCCAGGTACTCTTTAGCTTGACCTATAGCCAGGTGATGAGCATTGTTCGAGACGCAACCCCACAAGTTTTGGAAGTTTGCACGTGTCTATGTGCTCGGTCAATGGAGATGCAAAAGCAATGTGTGTTTTGAGTGTCTGGACTCATTGGTAATTTATAAAGTTATAACAAGTGTTTCGTTTTGGTACACAGTCATAGAAAATACATTTACCATTGCGTTATTTCATGTTGGTTAAGAGTGAGTGAGTGAGTTGGG